GCTGTGTAGTATGAATATAATAGACGCTCTCCTTATATCGCCGTTTTGATGTCAACAGGGACTGGTGGCTGGCCACGGTCAGTTAACGAGACTTCACTATATTTCGAAGAAAAGTAATAGGAAAATATGAGTGTGCAAGATACAATTCAATTTTCTGAACTGTTTCGAAAGAATGAAAAGACGGCAATATAACGAGAGGTCCCATTTTACTGATAAATTTATACTTAAAGGCCTATAAATATTTAAAGAAATTTTATTCTTCGTCGAAAAGCTGTGAAACACGAATATAATAGACGCTCTCCCTATATCGCCGTTCTAATGAAATCAACTTGCACGTCAAACACAAAACCCGTGTCCGTGAAATGATGTGAGCGTAAATATTGTCTAAGAAATTTTTCTTAAATTTGTCTTCTCGTTTCATTTGGGTACCGATTAATAAAGACTCGGCACAGTTCAACGGCTCAAAACGTTTGTCACGCTAACGGCGCATTCTAATGGCAGTATTTGCGGAACCGATATTTACCCTACTATAAAATGTATTTACAACGTGACATAAGGCATCGTACCTTTCACGCGTTAAGACTAGAACTCTCAGCCACGAATATGTCTGTAAATGTCGAAGAGTCGGTGGTTCGAGTCCAAAGTGTGGTCGGTAAATCTACCGAGCCTCCGTGAAAAATCCGATTGATGAACCACGGATTCTTCGACGCAATTCTCGCGAATATCAGTCCGCTCGCACGAGGCGCAACTAACGATCGTTTAACGCAGAACTTGTTCGAAATTATTTATCGGGAGAGAACTCCATTTTTGTACGCCGTTACCGTAGCACGGAGACGTACTATGAAAATACTGGTTAGGTTAGGTCGCCATTTTAGCGTTTTTCGATTTAGGAAAAATTACGGAAAGAGTTCTAGGGAAAATCTAAATTCTCCTACGTTAAATCCTCTCCATAACCTAATTTTTGTATCATTCTTTCGTTATCAAGGAAACGAAACGACGCTAAGATGGCCGACAAGTCGCCATTTTGTTCACCGTAACCACGGTAACGAACGCAAATGGCGTCCCTCGCCCGGTACATCTCCAACAGTTCTGCCCTTAAACGGGAACGAAATCGTGATAACTTACAGTGACATCAACCACGTACTACGAGATTGAACAACGACCTGAACGGTTGTTCAATCGGCTACATCTATCAGCTTTAGAATTCGTATGCTTTACTTGTTCTTACTGTACTATTAGTTAAGTATTACTTTAACGTCTCGCGTGTTTCGATCTTTGTTACAAAATACAGAATATCTCTACACAGGCGAATTACAATGTGTATGCAACGAAGGTGTCGGAATGAAAGGGTGAGCTTTTGTAAAAAGGGGATACAGATTCTTGAGACAGCCTTTGGCCAAGACGTAAGTATGTACATTCTTTGGATGATGGACAATGATTGGAGGCACTTTGGATCAGCTTAAAACAAACTGAACAAAGTATATTGTGTCCTTCGTTTACTATGATTCGAGACAAGTTGCTAGGCAAATTGCTGGGCATGTTAGACAAGTTGTTAGACAAGTTGCTGGACAAGTTAAGCATGTAATTTTCCTTATTCTTGGTACTGAATGCTAACTTGTCTAGCAAGATTACAAACTTGTAAATACTGTTTACTATTAAACAGTATTTGTTCATGAACTTAAACACGTTCGATCCCAGAGTAACGGAGATTGTCCCCTCGAGTGTGTGCGATTACACGGTTGGGTCTGAAAGTGTTTACCCAATCACGAGGCAACTCCGTGAGAATAAGGCAAGATTGGTAATTTCTGGGAGGCCTTTTTGGTGCGTGTTTATTTACTCAAAACGTGTTACAAGTATAAAAAGATGTCTTTCGAACTGAGAGAAATTAGATGCAGTATGAATCATGTGTGTATCACATTTACATATTCAATTTTTTAATGTGCTTTTTACATCATTGTTATGGAAAATGACTTTTAACTTGACAAAATGGGGTATAATGTCCGACATTGTCCTGGATTTTGATGCTCCCTGTGCAGATTTGACCATCTACAGTTTTCTCGTGAAGACAGAAGCATCGTAGATTTTTTCTATATAAAATATAATAGTTAACGGCGTCTTTTCGTCTCTTTTGTTTAATAAACGTTAACGTCCCTCTGCGTACGTATACCTACGAATCTAGATTCAGCCATCTGACCCATTCTCAAGAATCTGTAGTTTGCGTGGTAAGTACAAGCGATATCGATTTCGGTTCTAGTTTCGTGTGACGTGAGTGGATAGTAAGTAATGAGACTGGATATCCAGGTTTTTAATTTTTCAATTCTCCAATTTTTCAATTTTTCAATTTTTCAATTTTTCAATTTTTCAATTTTTCAATCTTTCAATCTTTCAATTTGTCAGTTTGTCAGTTTGTCAGTTTGTCAATTTGTCAATTCCTCAATTTCTTTAGTTTTTCAATTTTTGAATTATTCAATTTGTTAATTTGTCAATTTGACAATTTGTAATTCTTCAATTTTTAATTTTTGCAATTTTTAATTATTCAATTATTCAATTTCTCAGTTATTCAATTACTCAATTTGTCAATTTGTCAATTCCTCAATTATTCACTTATTCAATTTTCTACTTTTCCATTTTGCAATTCTTTAACTACTAAAATTTTCAATTATCCAGTTACCCTATTATCCAATTATTCAAATCTTAAATTTGCAATTATTCAATTATCCAATTATTCAATTGTTCAATTATTGAATTATTGAATTATTGAATTATTGAATTATTCAATTGTTCAATTGTTGAATTATTGAATTATTCAATCGTTCAATTATTCAATTATTCAAGTATTCAAGTATTCAATTATTCAATTATTTCTTTGATTTCCACATTTTAACGTATTCAACATAGTTCATCATCTATCAAATATAAATGAATGAAATTATTGTATCTCGTCATTTACTATGCATTCCGTCTGAAGCTTCAGTTTCCACCGATACTTGAAAAGTGTTCTAATCTGTAACATCAGCTTACCACTCGCGTACTTATTCACATACCTCAACATTTCAGGAGAAACGATAACTTCACATTATCCTTCCGAACGTACAGCATAAATTTTATTTACGACATTATCGAGTGTCTATGATTAATTATTATACACGAATAAATGTTACTCGTATGTGAACAAATTCGAGAGTTACTTTGATAGCTACAATAATTTAGCTGGCGTCGAAGAAATCAGAGATATATGTATAATAAGGATAAACAAAAACAGAGACGAAGAGAAAAGAAAAATTCACATGCGACACTTCGAGCCACGTACACTGAAACGATCACCCTCCTCCATTTCCCTTAAAGATACACTCGTATAAATGTTTACATTTCTAAATGTTTAAAGCTAATCGATTATACGTTAAGTTACAGGTTAAATTCGTGTCGTACAACGAGCTACCTACGATCGTGATGCCTAGAATAATTCCTCTTAACGTGTCGGATAAACGGGATATACAAAACACGCGATCGTACGGTGGCGTGCATGACAGATCCCTAGGGAAAATGGCGATGCAGGGGCAAAAGAATTTACTATTTTTTGGTGGTTAGTTGGCAAGTTTTAAAATTTTGGGGATTTGGAGATTTAGGGATTGGGGGATTCAGGGATTTGGGGATTTAGGGATTTGGGGATTTGGGGATTTGGGGATTTGGGGATTTGGGGATTTGGGGATTTGGGGATTTGGGGATTTGGGGATTTGGGGATTTGGGGATTTGGGGATTTGGGGATTTGGGGATTTGGGGATTTGGGGATTTTGTGGGATTTGAGGATGTGGAGATTGGTAGATTTGGGGATCTGGGGATCTGGGGATTTGGGGATTTGGGGATTTGGGGATTTGGGGATTTGGGGATATGGTGATTTGAGGATGTGGAGATTGGTAGATTTGGGGATCTGGGGATCTGGGGATTTGGGGATTTGGGGATTTAGGAATTTGGAGACTTGAGAATTTGAGGATTTGGGAATTTAGGGGATTTGGGGATTTGGGGATTTGGGGATTTGGGGATTTGGGGATCTGGGGTTTTGGGGATTTAGGAATTTGGGAATTTGGGGATTTGAGGATTAGGGGATTTGGAGATTTGAGGATTTGGGGATTTGGGGATTTAGGGATTTGGAGATTTGAGAATTTGAGAATTTGGGGATTTGAGAATTTGGAGATTTGGGAATTTGGGGATTTGGGAATTTGGGGATTTGGGAATTTGGAGATTTGAGGATTTGGGGATTTGGGGATTTTGGGGATTTTGGAATTTAGGGATTTAGAGACTTGAGAATAAGGGAATTTGGGGATTTGAGAATTTGAGGTTTTGCAGATTTGGAGACGCGAGAATTAGGGAATTTAGGGATTTGGAAATTTAAAAATTAGGGGATTTGAGAATTTGGAGATTTAGGGATTTGGTGATTTGGAGATGTGGAGATTTAGGGATTTTGAGTCTTGAGAATTTGGAGACTTAGGGATTTTCAGACTTGAGAATTTGGTAATTTTGAAAACTAACAAATTTGGAATTTTGAAATTTGAGAATTTAGTGAGTTGCAATCTTGGGAAATAGAAAATTGAAACTTTAAAAATTTCACTCTTAAAAATGTAGATACATGTAAATTTTCAAACTTGATAAATTCAAACTTGATAAATACAAATTTGATAAATACAAACTTGATAAATTCAAACGTGATAAATTCAAACTTGATAATTTCAATCTTGATAAGACTCAAACTTATTAAATTCAAACTTGATAAATACAAACTTAATAAATACAAACTTGACAAATTCAAACTTGACAAATTCAAACTTGATAAATTCAAACTTGATAAATTCAAACTTGATAAATTCAAACTTGATGAATTCAAACTCGATAAGACTTAAACATTTAGAAATTTGATCCCTTTTTAAACAACTTAACCATTTAAAAATTACCTTCCCCGAATTGTAAAAATTTCTAAAATCATAAATAGTAAAAATACCCATATAATTCCCCCAAAAAAATATTTTAATCTCCATCAGGGATCAACAAAATTTTATTCTTCCTCCGCATCACTCCACATCCAAAGGGATTCTACAATTGCACCTCACCGTACCAACAACTTCAAAACCCTCAGGCCCCAGGACCGATCGAAACCCTCCCTCCACCGTCCCGATTCGATCAGAGCCATGAAAGGGAACTCTATAATTATTATTACAGTATTTTTAATTAGCCGGTTGCTTTAAAAGGTAACCCGATTAAGTAGTGGCAGCTTCGTATTACGATTTACTTGAGCAGACTATGTAGGTATAATTCGATCGCATCTTCCTTCAACGACGAATCAAAAACTTCTTCTCGATCAGAACATTCCAAGAGCATACGTTTCCTCGACAATTGTTCCAAAAATATTGCAGTACTCTTTGCTGTTAAAAAGTCCCGTGAGATCAGGAACAACGTCGGTTGTTGATTCGAAAGTAAACAACGAAAGAACGAAGACAAAAAGGAAGAAAAATGGAGAATTTCAATGGCGATTTCTTCGGATATTCGGTTTCTGTCGATAACGGAGCCCTTTTACCGTAATTTCGTGTACTTAAGTCGAATGTTCCTAAGACTAGGGCGGGATGTTCCGGTTTGGTAGCAAGTTACTTCCGGGCTGTTGGTCCTTAGTCTTTGTCTACGGTGCAGGGCTCGGGCATGGACTATTGCGGCGGGCAGTTCACCACCGTCGTGGTGGCGAATTCGCTGAATTTTTTATCGATTGGAACCCGGTCGTCGTAGAGGGTCGGAGCCTGCAGGATGATCCCGGCTGTACCCACCAGCACCGCCAACGTGAATATCCACAGGAACAGTCTGTCCAGCACCATCGCCACGTATTTCCAATCCTCTTTCACCTTTTTGCAAAATTTATTCTGTTAGTCATTGTTCTGCGGTGTCAGCGAAATTCACGTGTTTGAAAATTCACGGGCTTTCTATTTGAAAGGGAAATTTTTGGACTTAGGAGCGACATGATCTTTATGGTCTCAAGGTCGAATGTAAACATGCAACTGCACCCTCTATTTCTACTTGGAGTTATCGATAAAATTCAATAGTTCTGTGTTTAATTCTTTTTTCATTGACAAATTTATTTTCATTGTGCAAATAAATTAATATGTATTTAATTATTGTTCTGAATTTTATTATTTCTTTGTGCTTCTTTAATATAGAGAGTAGGCACTCAAAACCAGCAATCTAAATAATTTGACTCACAACAAAATTATTTGATTAGACTAGTTTAGGTTAAGTAAAGTTAGGTTAGTTTAGTCGATAAGAAGAAATGCATCTGAGGAAAATTATATTTGGTTAGGTTAGTTTAAGATATGTTACTATAGGTTAGGTTAGTTTAGCTGATAAGAAGAAATGTATCAGAGGAAAATTATATTTAGTTAGGTTAGTTTAAGATATGCTACTTTAGGTTAGGTTAGTTTAGTCGATAGGAAGAACTGTATCAGAGGAAAATTATATTTGGTTAGGTTAGTTTAAGATATGTTACTTTAGGTTAGGTTAATTTAGTCGATAAGAAGGAATGTATCAGAGGAAAATTATATTTGGTTAGGTTAGTTTAAGATACGTTACTATAGGTTAGGTTAGTCTAGTCGATAGACAGAAATGTATCAGGGGAAAATTATATTGGTTAGGTTAGTTTAGGATATATTACTTTAGGTTAGGTTAGTTTAGCCCATAAAAAGAAATGCATCAAACCAAAATTATATTGGTTAGGTTAATTTAGAATATATTACTTTAGGTTAGGTTAGTTTAGCTGACAGGAAGAAATGCATCAGAGTGAAATTATTTAGTTAGGTTAGTGTAAGTTAGGTGACTTTAAGTTAAGTAATTTTAGATTATTTTAATTTAGTCCATAGGAAAAACTGCATCAGACAAAGATTGTTTGATTAGGTTAGTTAAAGTTAGGTGACTTTAGTGAAGTTATTTTAGGTTATGTTAATTTAGTCCATAAGAAAAAGTGCATCAGGCAAATATTGTTTGGTTAGGCTAGTTAAAGTTAGGCGACTTTAAGTTAAATAATTTTAGGTTACATTAATTTAGTCCATAGGAAAAAGTGTATCAAAAATTGTTTGATTAGTTAGTTAAAGTTAGGCGACTTTAAGTTAAGTAATTTTAGGTTACATTAATTTAGTCCATAGGAAAAAGTGCATCGGATAAAGATTGTTTGGTTAGGTTAGTTTAAGCAAAGTCACTTTAAGTTAGGCTACTTTAGGTTATGTTACGTCAGTCAGTATAACAGCTAAGTTATTCAAGATGTCGCTTTTAAGTGCCTCACTTTATACAGTCCTTAATTGCCCAATCTTGCAAGTTATTTCAAGATGAGTTTTGAAACACAGTACGATTGAAAGTGTTCTAAAGTGAAATTGGAAGTTACCTTAGTCGAATCTTCAAGCATCTTCGTGTGCTCGGCGATGAAACGCACACAGATGCAAGATTTGTGGATTTCTGGAGGACAACGCGAATGCGAGAAGGCTGGAGGACTTCGAAGGACCGGACTTTTGACTTCCTCGATCCCTGCTTCACCGGAAACGGAGAGGTCCTCGCATTCGGTGTGAAGAGGAAGCGGTGGTAATGGCGGTCCGTGAATTAAGCAGCTTCCTCCGAACCTTGCACCGTCCGCCAAACTGAATAACAAAATGGAGGTGTTAAATCTGAAGCATTCTTATAAAAACATTCCTATGAAAATTTTCTTATGAAAATATTTTTATGAAATTTTATAATAGATGAAGTTTTAATATTTTTAAAGTTACATAACTTTGAAGTTAGGTTATTTATGCGAATCGATATAATGTCTGACTTTGCAACTTGGCTCTTGATAAAAAATATACTTTTATTATATTATATATTGTAGAAGCCATATTGCAAAAGTGGATTTTGTCAGAAATTACATAAACGTATAAAGAAATTGTTGAGAGTATAAGTTTACTAATTTTTTGATAGATAAAGGGAATAACGAACGAAGACTTCAAGAAAAGTTAAGATAGCTGTTGAAGTGAATGGTTAGCTTTAGAACAAACTGCATTTAATGCCTGATACCAGTTCAAGAAGTTTGTCTATGCCATTCTAAGTCTGCTCGAATTGAACTTCGTAGGTAAGTCGTGTAAGCTTGTTAACTAAGTCTCGTAATACTATACCAGTTTCGTACCGTATATCAGAGTGTCAATTATTTTGCAGATTACATTTCAAACAGCCCTTAGGGATGGCTTAAATGTACAGATCATTGATTTTAACTGTGAAGTTGAATTTTGGAGAGTTGTTCAATTGAATTTCTTGATTACTCAGGAAACTTAAGTAAAACTTGCGAAATCTGAGTTTGGAAGTGAATTTTTATTTAATATGGACTTTTCTAATTTTTATTGTTTGAGGATTGGGTGAAATGTGGGTTTGAAATATAGGGATTTGAAAATTTGGGTTGTCAGAAATTAACAAATTTGAAATAATTGGACTTTCAGAAATAACAAATTTGGAAACTTGGACTTTCAGAAATGAACAAATTTGGAAATTTGGAAGCTTGAAAAGTTAAAATTCTTACAAACTCGTTTGAGCTCACGTAGCTTATATTTTTAGTCGATGAATTACGTTGCACGACAGTGTACATATACTATGCAAAAATATGCAAAATGGCGTAGAATATGTATATTAATATTCCTGTATACCTGGAAGGTGAAAGGTCTTCTTTCGACGCAGCACGACTATGAAATCGTTTAGGTGTTAAATGTTCTTCGCTATCCTCTTGAGTAGACGGGTGATAAGGATAATAGCAGGTCTTCTCCTTCCCCCTCACTGTTCTCATCAACACTCTGCCAGAACTATATCTGTGATTATAAATCAAATGAACAATATCAAAACAACTTTAAACAATATTATCGATCTTTAGTAGTAGGTATAATGTTCGCAGCGTGTACAGATGTCAACCCATGAGTTGGCGCGTGATTCAAAGTCCCATGAACACTTGTACCATTTCAGCAAATAAGAATAATAACTGCTGAACGCTATTCACTTTGTCAGTCATTCTTGAGAGAATTCTTTGGGAGCTATAGGATACCTAGACCATAGTCCCTAGAGTTTTCATGGTTCCTAAGACTCCCAGATTCCATAAACTATAGGTTAGGATACCTAGACCATGGTCCCTAGAGTCTTCATGGTTCCTAAGACTCCCAGATTCCATATCCATAGTTTCAGTCTCCAGTGCCTCTAAGTTCGCTAGGATCTCCACAGTCCACAGTCCCTGGATCCCTAGGTCACATTCCCACATTCTCTACAGTTCCCGAATTCCCTAGATTCTCACAGTCCTCGGAATCGCCATATTTCCTAGCTTCCAGAATCCCTACGTTCCCTTGGATCATCACAGTCTCTACTGTAGACAAGCCAGGAATTGGCGCGTAGGTCGAGCCAGAGTAAAAGAAGCCACTCGCTCCACCTAACCCACCGTGAACACTTCCAGTTACATTTAGGCAAATAAGAATAATGACAATAACTGCTGAACGCAATTCGCACTATCTCACTCTCGAGACGTTTGCCGACCGTCTTTGGCCTAATTGGTGTGCGAGAGCCAATATACAGAAAAGGCGTCCATTTTTCTATTCTGACCAATCGGAGCTCTAAACAGCTGGGTCCCGCGCCAACTCGTGGGTTGTCATCGGTATATTAATTCATCACAAAATTTCTAATATTTAAAAGTTGTATTAAAGAAGTATTAAAGAAGCTTAATTTAAATTAAACAATCTTAAAGAAAGCTAAAAAATATATTAAACAATTCTCAAGTAAATTCAATTACAAATTAAATACCTTTGAAGTAAATTCAATTGTAAATTAAATAATTCTGAAGTAAATTCAATTACAAATTAAATAACTTTGAAGTAAATTCAATTGTAAATCAAATAATTCTGAAGTAAATTCAATAACAAATTAAATAACTTTGAAGTAAATACACTTACAAATTAAATAACATTGAAGTAAATTTGAATGTAAATTAAACAGCATCCCAGTAAATTTAAATACAAATTAAACAGTAACGAAGTAAACGTAAATTCCAACGTAAATTAATTTCTCAGTAAATTTAAATAGAAATGAAACAATTACAAAGACAATTTAAATACAAACGAAGTAAAAATAAAGAAACGCTTACCTATTTGTTTCGAATTTGTATTGCGGCCTCCTCATGGCCAGCAATCGAGGAAGGATGTGTATGAAAACTCTTTTAACCCAAGGCGCCATCTTGTGAGTCTGAGGTGATCGAAAATGGACATTCAGCACAACCACCGTCACACATATACTGAAACATAAAACAACAAAAATTCTCATTCGGTGAAATGATTTTTCGCGGTGTTTCAAAGCAATCATCTTTCATTTCATTAGCCTTATTCCGTTTAGTGTTCTGGTTACAGCGTTAACAAGCGCTACGGGTGTCTCATTAAAATTTTAATAAGCTCCGAGGCAGGTAATTGCAGTTTTTGATCAGCGGCTTCCAGCAGATATACAGTTTCTGTAGCCTCGTGTGTGTTCGTAAACGGCAATGTTTCGACACAAATTATTTTCTTGATAATAAGAGAAATTTCATTTGACAATCGTAAACACTTTTAGAAAATTGTTTTAATTGTTGCAGTAACTTATTGCTCGTTAAAAAATATTTCTATGTTAAAAATTAATATGTTACAGAGATGTATGAAGTAATATTATTATATGAACTATAATTTCATTTTTTATTTATGAAATATAAAATTCATTTTTGTTTAATGAAACATTTGAGGGAGGTTTTTATGTGAGTCAAGTATAGTTTATTATATGTATAATTAACGTAATATATGCTAAAGAATATATCTCAAAAAATTGACAATACAGTAAACAATTTTTGTGTAAAATATCTGTAAAGCGCAACAACGAAAATTCCGAGATATTGTATAAAAGCGAGTCATGCAAGGATCGCCGATAATATTATAACGATCAACGTAATTACGGATTGAAAATTGCGCCTTGATCATTAAGTTCATTTCCGTGAACTTCGCTTGAACGCAGAGTCATTACGAGGAAATAATAATTCATAAGAACAGGTCAGCTGTTTTAACGCTTAAGAGGAGCGCTCGAGGAGAACGTGGAGGCGGTCGATCTTGGCTTTAATGGCGGCACAATGTCTCCACGTTTCTTGGAAAAAAGCAATAAGCGATGCGGTTTAATGCACCAGAGCACCGACCATCCCCCTTGAAATTCTACGGAGAAAAAAGGGTTGGGTTCTTTGGTTGGCTTCTGCCCTCGCTTTAAGGCGAGTCACGAACGATCCTGTTACTGATTGTCACATTTACTGTGTGTACTTCTTTCTATTCTTCGCGTCTTCCCATGTAATGTGGTATTTTGTCATTGGTTACTTTTTTCAATTCTCAAATTACAAATCTTAATTCTCAGTTCTAGGAATTCGAGGAATTCTAAGAATTCGAAGTATTCAAAAAATTCAAGAAATTCGAAGAATTCAAGGAAGTCAAAGAACTCAAAGAATTCAGAGAACTAAAAGAATGCAAGGAATTCAAGTAGTTTGAGAAATTCAAGAAATTCAAAGAATTCGAGGAACTCAAAGAATTCATGGAAGTCAAAGAATTCAAGGAACACAACGAACTAAAAAAATGCAAAGAATTCAAGTAATTTGAGAAATTCAAGAAATTCAAGGCATTCAAGGAACACAACGAACTAAAAAAATGCAAAGAATTCAAGTAGTTTGAGAAATTCAAGAAATTCAAAGAATTCGAGGAACTCAAAGAATTCAAGGAAGTCAAAGAATTCAAAGAACTCAACGAACTAAAAAAATGCAAGGAATTCAAGTAATTTGAGAAATTCAAGAAATTCAAGGCATTCAAGGAACTCAAAGAATTCAAGGAAGTCAAAGAATTCAAAGAACTCAAAGAATTTAAGAAATTCAAAAAATTCGAGGAACTCAAAGAATTCAAGGAAGTCCAAGAAGTCGAAGAACTCAAAGAATTTAAAGAACTCAAAGAATTCAAAGAACTCAAAGAACTCAAAGAACTCAAAGAATTCAAAGAAACCAAAAATTTATGAATTTAGAATTTCTCGAATTTACAGATATTACGTTCTGGAATTTTTAAAACAGTCATTTGTCAAATTCTCAAATTAATAACTACAGAAACTGTGAAATAGTACGAGGCAATATAACGAATGACAACGTTACGTACACCCATCGTACTATCCAATTAAAATTTCTTAACAAAGTTATACAAATGCCTGCAGCATCTCGTGATTAGTGTCCACGATCACCTGTATTTTTTAACATTTCTCGTCCGTCTTCCCACTTATTTTTCATCAATCCTCCATCTCTCTCTTTCTCCCGCCTCTCTTCATTTCGCTTCTTACACACCGATCGTCTCATATTTTTTGCAAAGCTCTCTCGCGCTCGTGTTACAGCCACGGAGAAGCGTTCTTTCTTAGAGACTGATGGGCAACGATGATGAAGCGACTTGGAAATTTGTAGGATAGCGGTTCTTCGTGGCGATGTAGAAGATTTCCGGCAGAGGCCGAATAAAAACTGCCGTGGATCGAATACGCTGAGCTCGGAGCCTTTTCAGCCTCCAATTTCGTCACGGTTCGATTACGCTTTCTTTATCGATTTATGCATAAACTAACGTCATTCGATTCTGCACATTACCTACAGTTCGATTCATTCGTCGTACCATCGAGTACTCGTTCTTGCAGACATGTAATAGAAGTTTTATTTTTGATTATTCAACAGGTTCTTTTTTGGCGCGAAAATTGAATTTATTTGAATTCTGATGTGGTAGAAAATGGGTTTGGTACATTTGAGAAAATTAGGGATTTGGGGGTTTGGGGATTTGGGGATTTAGGGATTTGGGGATTTGGGGATTTAGGGATTTAGGGATTTGCGGATTTAGGGATTTGGGGATTTAGGGATACAAGGATTTAAGGATACAGGGATTTAAGAATACAGGAATTTAAGGATACGGGGAATTAGGTGTACGGGGATTTAGAGATACGGGGATTTAGGTATACGGGGATTTAGAGATACGGGGATTGAGAGATACGTGGATTTAGAGATACGAGGATTTAGAAATACGGGGATTTAGAGATACGGGGATTTAGGAATACGGGGATTTAGAGGTACGGGAATTTAGGTATACGGGGATTTAGAAATACGGGGATTTATGGGTTTGGGAATTTATGGATTTAGGGATTTATGAATTTGGGGATTTATGGATTTAGGGATTTATGGATTTGGGGATTTATGGATTTGGAGACTTAAAGATTTGGGGATTTGGAGATTTGAAAATTTGGTAATTCAGGGATTTAGGGAATTACCAATTTATTGATTTAGAAATTTGAGTATTAAAGTGTCTCCCAATATAAAAATTCGTCATTTCAATCACCAAAGTCAAACATACCAATTTCCATCAACCTAACCTTAAAAAATAAATCCATGCAGTAACTTTTTCAGTGAATAAACACAACGAACATAAACGACGAATATAGCCTAAAAAACATAAAAATGATATCTCTTCCTCCTTAAACATGACAATACAACTTTTCCTGGTAATAAAATGAACGAATCAGAAATCAAACAGCAAGAAGATTAAAGAATTTCCTTGTTAAAATACCAATAACCGTAACAGCAGTTTATCAGAAAAGAAATACCTATTTCCAATTTGAGAGATCCTCAAGAAATAAAAAGCTTTCCTCTGTTTCACGGAACAGAAGAACGTGCAGTGAGTTGTGAAATCAGGAAACGTTTCAACGTATTATTCAAAGGAACAGCTATTAAGCTTCAAACGTTTTGTACATCGTACATACACGTCGATTTCGTGATATATAATTCCGTTTTATACGGGGGCTCTTAAAAACACGCTAAAACGTTTCTTAAGCATCGCGAAACACTTGTTTGTCCGAGGTCTTTTTAGTTCTTGTAGGAAAATAATACTGACAAAATTTTTAATGTACTTTGTTTGAAAAATTACAAATTTATATACAAATATTATTAAAATATCTTGAGCATTATTAAATAAAATAATAAATTAATTAATAATGAAAGGTAGTTATTTATTTAACGTGTAATGTATTTCTTATGGTGTCTTATTTATAGAATAATTGATAAATGAAAGATTTTTTGCAATAAATCTAGTTGACTCTCGCTATATTGCCGCTTGAAGCAAAGAGCAGGGATACAAGGGATCCCAACTCTTTGTCTAAGGTTTCTTACAGATATTGTTTATAAAACAATCGATAAATGAAAGATTTTCTGCAGTAAATCCACCTGACTCTCGCTATATTGCCGCTTGAGGCAAAGAGTAGGAATACAAAGGATCCTAACTCCTTGTCTAAGGTTTTTTTTAGGTATTGTTTATAAAATAATCGATAAATGAAAGGTTTTCTGTAGTAAATCCAGCTGACTCTCGCTATATTGCCGTTTGATGCAAAGAGCAGGGAAAGAAGGAAATTCTTGCTCTTTGAGCGAGGTTCCTTTTAAGTATTACTTATTAAATAATCGACAAATGAAAGATTCTCTTCATAAAATCCAGCTGACTCTTGCTATATTGCCGTTTGATGCAAAGAGGATCATTCGTATCCCTATTCTTTGCCTGAGGATCCTTTTAGGTATTATTTATAAAATAATTGATCAATGAAAGATTTTCCCCAATAAATCCAGTTGACTCTCGCTATATTGCCGTTCGATGCAAAGAGGATCATTCGTATCCCTATTCTTTGCCTGAGAATCCTTTTAGGTATTATTTATAAAATAATTGATCAATGAAAGATTTTCCCCAATAAATCCAGTTGACTCTCGCTATATTGCCGTTCGATGCAAAGAGGATCATTCGTATCCCTATTCTTTGCCTGAGAATCCTTTTAGGTATTATTTATAAAATAATTGATCAATGAAAGATTTTCCCCAATAAATCCAGTTGACTCTCGCTATATTGCCGTTCGATGCAAAGAGGATCATTCGTATCCCTATTCTTTGCCTGAGAATCCTTTTAGGTATTATTTATAAAATAATTGATCAATGAAAGATTTTCCCCAATAAATCCAGCTGACTCTCGCTATATTGCCGTTTGATGCAAAGAGCAGGGAAAGAAGGAAATTCTTGCTCTTTGAGCGAGGTTCCTTTTAAGTATTACTTATTAAATAATCGACAAATGAAAGATTCTCTTCATAAAATCCAGCTGACTCTCGCTATATTGCCGTTTGATGCAAAGAGCAGGGAAAGAAGGAAATCCTTGCTCTTTGAGCGAGTTTCCTTTTAAGTATTACTTATTAAATAAT